ACAGTTCTGGAAGCTATGAAATCCAAAATGAAGGTGCCAGGAAGTTTGCATCTGGTGAGGGTTGGTCTCTGCTTCCAAGATGGTGCCTCAAAAGCTGTGTCCTCCTGAGGGGATGAACACTGTGTGTTCACCTGGCAGAGGGAGATGGAAATAAGCTTTCATATTGTTTAAGTTTCTGTTTATGCCACTGAAACTAATTCTAACCAACTTATTTAATTTTTTTTAAAATAACATAAGTAGGCTGTGCACAGTGGCTCATGCCTATAATACAAGCACTTTGGGAGGCTGAGGGGAAAGGATACCTTGAGTTCAAAGCCAACCTGGGCAACATAGCAAGACCCTGTTTCTACAAAATTTTAAAACTTAGCTGGTCATGGTGGCATGCACCAGTAGTCCCAGCTACTCAGGAGGCTGAGGTGGGAGGACAGCTCGAGCCCAGGAGTTTGAGGTTACAGTGAGCTATGAGCATAGCACTGCGCTCCAAACTGGGTGACAGAGACCTTGTTTCTTATTTTTAAAAATTAAATTTAAAAAATTTAAATATATACATATGTATGTGTGTGTGTATATGTATGTAGTATTTATATGTAAACTATATATTATACTTAAATGTACTATACTTATAAAAAAATTCAAACGGTAAAACATATTAGGGTAAAATGTGAAGTCTCTTTCACTGTCTGAATTTTACTTCCCTTCACTGATATTATATAACCACTGTGAATAATTTAATAGACATAGATCCAGATTTTTTTGGTCCAATATTGTCTTTGCCCCCGCCATGTTAGATATTTTACTATAGGAGAAGCAAGCTTCCTTCCTGAAATAATATTCCTGTTTAGACTAAGTCTTAGGTATATAAATATAAGTATTTGCATACATGTGCATTCATAAAATTGTAACGGAAACATAAAGTACATTTGTATACAAATGTGGCTTTTGTTTTTAATAAATAGGAACATACATAGACTTTGTTCTGGAACTTGCTTTCTTCACTTGACAATATGCACTGATAATCTGTCCTTCTCACTAGAATTAGACATATATCTTTTTTGGGTGTGGGGGGATGGAGTTTTGCTCTTGGCATCCAGGCCGGAGTGCAGTGGCACAATCTCAGTTCACTGCAACCCCCACCTCCCAGATTCAAGCGATTCTTCTGCCTCAGCCTCTCAAGTAGCAGGGATTACAGGCACCTGCCAACATGCCTGGCTAATTTTTGTATTTTTAACAGAGATGGGGTTTCACCACGTTGGCCAGGCTGATCTTGAACTCCTGACCTCAGGTGATCTGCACACCTCTGCCTCCAAAGTGCTGGGATTGCAGGCATGAACCACCATGCTTGGCCATACATCATTCATTTTTTAAACCACTTCATGGTATTCCATAATAGAGATATAACTATTTCATCGTGTCTTCAAAAGCGACAGAAAGATTGACTAAGCACCTCTTTCAAACATGCTCAACAGGTAAATTCAACATATTATCAAGAAATGTAAGAAAGTATATTGATTATAGTTTGTATGTTTAACAATAAACTTTACTCTAGTTTGATATTTTTAGACTTGTTAGCATCGCTTATTAAATTAGTTTAATTCAGTTATGGAAATATCAAATTCAATAAATTTTAATATTAATTTGTTGTTAACAGTTCTGGTTACTTATAATTAATATGATTCTAACCATATATTGTATTTTTATAGCAAACTCATATTTTGGATTGTGTATTGCTATCCATAAATTTGCAGATGTACTTTCATAATTTAATTGTGGTTAGTGAGTTTTTGGAAGCAGTATACAATACCTAGATTAAAATTAATTCTGAACTAATGATAGGAGAAGGATGAGTTTACATATTGCATCTTGTTAATAGTACTGCTTTGCGTCTAAGGTATAACTTAGCTATTCATAGCCCTGGGTAATACCACCAGTAGGCTGGTTGCGGTGGCACACGCCTGTAATCCCAGCACTTTGGGAGGCCAAGGCAGGTGGATCAACTGAGGTCAGGAGTTCTAGACCAGCCTGGCCAACATGGTGAAACCCTGTGTCTACTAATACTACAAAAATTAGCCAGGCATGGTAGCACACACCTATAATCCCAGCTACTTGGAAGGCTGAGGCAGGAGAATCGGGTGGGGACACAGCCAAACCATATTACCCCCCCAAAAAAATCCTGTTTAGATTAAGTTCTATGTGTATGAATATATGTATATGCATACATGTGCATGCAGAAAATTATAACAGAAAGATAGAGTATATGTAAATATGAATTTTATATGTACTGATTTGTAGAATAACAATTATAAGTGGTATGAAGTGAAATAAACAATTTGTTTATATGGAGTATCATTCCATTTCAGTAAATATTAACAAAATCATGCTTGTATGTGCATGGGGATATATTAATATGTGCTCATATATATGTACACTATACATACGTGTGTATACATATATATGTATGTATGCTGATATATGTATGCAGAAGCAATATGTTTGGGATGAAACACTCCCTTTCAATAACATGAACTACCTCAGGGAGTAGGATAGATGACAGAGACAATGGGGGAAGAGAAGCAATGTTACTTTAAAAAAAAATCTTTGTATCATATTACTGGTTAAAAGAGGCATATAAAATTATGTTTTAAATTTTATAAAAATAAGATACATTAGCAACCTTTGTATGGATGGAAAATTTTAAATACACATGAAAATACTGATTGCATATACCTTTTGAAGTTCTACTGATAGGTATTTATCCTACTATTTACATATACAGACACGACATTCATCACAATATTGTTTTTAAATGGAGATGTGAGAAACATCATAGCTATTTAATTATAGGGGAATGGCTAAATAAGTTTGGCTCATTCAAAGGATACCATGGAAGACCAAGGCTTTGCATCATATTTAGATTTGAAACTGCTAGAAGCACCTTTATTTTGAATAGCCTCTAAGAAAAAGTTTAATGGAAAAAGTCTAAATGAAATATTCTGATTAATAACAGAATCTATACTATAAGATGGTCTATTTCTGATCAGAAAGGTGGAAAGTTCATCTAGCTTAAGTGGATAAATTCAATTTTCTATAACATTCATATCTGATAGATTAAACAAACAGGTATGAACGATTTCCTTAAGAAACATGCTTTATAAGTTTTATGGCCATTACATTCTTTAAAGTTAAGGGTTACATTCCAGGGAGATTAAATAAAAACTGCAAAGTTAACAGTTGACTTGCCCGAGGAGATACTTGTTTTTCCTCAGTAAACATCGAAGAGAAAAATAATGTAATATAACAGAGCATGCATCTGATAAATATGTAACAGCAACAGGGCGCCCATGGACCTTTGCCCTACCTGGCTGGTGCCCTTTGTTCACTGTACTTCTGAGGTTGCCAGAATGTAAATGTTGATTTCCCTATCTTAAATGAGTAGAATAACAACCGGAATAGTACTTTGAAATTCTAAAAGCTCTTGGATCAATAAGATTCTGTCTTTCCAAGCTTTGCATCAAATATCATTGTGACCTATACTATCTTTTTTATTAAGTAAAGCTTAATCAAATTTTAGGTTTAAAATACAAGAGTCATTCAAAAGATATATTGTTAGGTAGAATAAAATGGAGAATAGTATGTTTTTTCATTTGGAGGGGAGGAAAAGAAAAGAGAAAATGCTTAATATAATAATTTTTATTTTTATTACTTCATGAAAGAACTTCTCTATGACCACTGATTTTCTTACTTGCTTTCGGAGCAATGTAGAATTTTAGTCATCACTTCACCGTCATATTAATTCATTGCCATTTTCCCAGCTGAAAGAGAAAACTTCCTTTTAATTTTTTAACTCATTTTGAAACAATTTTAACTTACAAAAGTTACAAAAATAGTAGAGATGTCCATATACCCTTTATTGTGTTTTCCCAAATGTTAGTATCTCACTGTTACTCCAATGATCAAAATCAGGAAATGAACATCACGCTACCATTCACGAAACCAGAGACCTTATTCAAATTTTGCCAGTTCTTCCACTGAAGACCTATTCTGGGCTAAGATCTAATCCAGGATCCCACGTTGCATTCAGTTGTCAATAGGAGTGAAGTTAGCATGTTTAAGAAGCTGGAATATTAGAGCAGATGGAGTGTAGTGAGCAAGGAGCACAGAGACACAACACAAAGTTGGACAGAACCAGATTGTGTAGGTCAGAATAAAAAGTACACATTTATCCTGAGAGCAGTGAGGAGCCATTGCAGGATCTCAAATAGGAGCCCCACTGCTGCTGGCAGTACCGCTTGGGACAGGCCCCATCCCAGCCCCCAGCAATGGGCAGCACACCCCAGGAAAGGGCCCCCAACCCTCTCCCCTACGCGGGCTGTGGCGCCTCAAATAACACCCCCACTCCAGCCCCCGCAACACCAGCAGTGACACCCTGGATAGTGCTCACTGCCCATTGCAGGTCACTCCCAAGTTGTTCCCCATGCCTAAGGCTGTGTGGGCCAAGATGGTGAACCTATCCCACCATCTTACCTTTCTAGCTGTGCCGTAGTCTCCGTCAGTGCCAACAACTACAACAGCGAGGCGAGCAGAGCTCATAAGACAGACTCTAGCCTCCAGCATGGGCGGTGGTCGGCTACTCCCATTTCTCCTCGAAGCGAGCTCGGAGCAGGTGGGCCCGTGTCTGAAATGGCGAGACTCCCGCTTGGCATCCTTTATATTCGGGGTTCCTAGACTACATGTTCGGATTGGATGAGAGCAAACTTCAAGGTCTACTCTAACTGGGCTTTATTTCTATGGTCTGATTGGCTAACCTAAAACTTGTTCTCATCCAACCCGAAGCTATTCTAGCCAGGCTGAGCTGCGGGCCCCTTTAAGAGGGTGTGGTGCCTCAGCCTTGAGGCGAGTGCCTGTCAGTGAGTTCCCCTAGAGAAGGCCTCCCGGCCCTCAAGAAGTCGGCGGTGGGGGCGGTGGGGGCGTCGGCGGTGGGGGCGGTGGGGGCGGCGGTGACGGAGAAGGCTGCAGCCCTTGAAAAGTTGGCGGCAGCGTCGGCAGCGGGCCCCAGCCAGCCCGGCCTGGCCACGGGGAAGTCAGCGGCGGCGATGGCGGCCCCAGCCCGGCAGGAGGGAAGTCGGCGTAGGCAGCGGCGCGGTCAGAGCTAGTTTCTTTGGAGAAGCGTAGTGGCTTCAACGTGATGGTGGAGGACGAGACAGGTCTCTGCGGTAAGTGGCGAGGACTTGTACCCCACCGGGAATCCTCCAGACCTCCCTGCTCCTTCTCCGCGGCTCCCTGCTTTGCCTGGGATGGGTTGGTGGCACTATGGGGTGCAGCACTGCCAGCGGTGAGGGATGGGTTCCGGGTGCTGTCAGGTGTTACGTTGCCCCCAGTCGGGGGTCGGGGGGTGGGTGTGAGATCCACGACATCATTGCCTGTGTCTGGGAGCTGGTTGGGGGCACTATCCAAGGCTGCATCGCCCACATGGGGAGTGGGTTGGGGGCACTGTCTGGGGCTGCAATGCTGGCGGTGGAGGATGGTTTAGGGGGTGCTGCACTGCTGGTGGGGGGGAGGGGTGGTGTTAAAGGCGTCATGGGGACTACACTGAGACAGAGGTTGGGGGGCTTGTTGGGAGAGCTACACAGGGTTGGACTGCCTGTGGAGTAGGGTAGAGGGTTGGTGGGGGCACTCTTGGGGCCGGATACACAGCCTGAGTGGTGGGGAGGCCGCGGGTGGGCCAGGTTCTCTCAGGGATCTGCGCTGCCTGGTAAAGAGCGGGTGCGTGTGCTATTCCGGGCTGCGTGGGTTGTGGCAGGGGCAGGTTGGGTGCTATCAGGGGCTACCTGAGCTAGCCATGGGGGTACTTCCCAAGGTGGAGAGGGAGTTTGGAGTGCTATCTGTGGCTGCACTGCCCAAGGCAGGGAGTTGGTTGGGGAGTGAGTTAGGGCAGTCACTATTCAGGGTTGCAGCACCCACAGTGGGGGGTGGTTTGGGTGCCATATGGGGGCATCACTGCCTGTAGTGGGGGTCTGCTTGGGGACGCTATCTGTGGCTACACTGCCCACCCCAGGGAGCCTGTTGGGGTGCTATCCAGGGCTGTGCTGCCCATGGTAGGGGGGTAGTTTGCAGGTGCCATGGAGTGCTGCAGTGTCAAAGGCAGGGACAGATTAGGGGCTGCCATGACGTGCTACACTGCCGGTGGTGGGGGATGGGGTGTTGGTGCTATCCTGGGGCTACACTGCCAGTGGCAGCGGGCTCTGTCGGAAGCTGCACTGCTGGTGGCAGGTGATGGAGGTTTCAGTGACAGCAGTGGTCTCTGAGAGAGCAGTCCTCCTCTGCCCGGACTCTAAACTCTAATAGGCCATCTGCTGTTGCATGGCGGGCACACATTTCTGTAGCAGTCACCATGGGGTGACAGGGCCCTGTGGGTGGAGGTCTCAGGAATGGGAACCAGTACATGGGTGGGGAGGGCTGGCTGGGGCTGCATTTCTGCTGCTCCTGCTTCTGGAGCACAGCCTGGGTGGTCCCAGTGGTTCCTGTGGAGTGGGAAGCCCAGGCACCATGGTGTCTCCAGTCTCTACTCCGTAGCCAGTTTGGGCCAAAAAGAGATGCTGTGGCCTTTGGAGGGTGAGTGTGAGTGCCTTCACTGAAACTGGCCCATGCCACCCAGTGGCCAGCAGGACAAGGTGGGGGTCTAATGCTACCATTCTCTTGTGTCCCGTTCTAGGCTTTCCTGGCTTTGCCCGCCCAGTTGCTCCATGCCACGAGAAGGAAGAGCTATCTGCTGCATGCTGGAGGCTGGAGCCTGTGGCACCACGGCTCGCCTCGCTTCAGTAGGTGGCAGCGATGGAGACTGCAGAGCGCCGGAGAGGTAGGAGCGTGACTGGCTGCCACCAGGGCAGGGATGGGTGCAGAGGTGGCCAGGTGGCAGCCTCTGAGGCGGCCTTGGTCCCTGGGTCCCCCCAGGGACCCTTTTTATGGCAGGCAGAGCTGGGGTTGCCACTGCTTTTGATGTGCCTTGTGCAGGTGGCAGCTACAGTTGAGCCGTAGGGTGGCAGCGCTGGTTTCCATTCTTCTGTTCCTTTTTGTCCCTGGTCCAGGGTGCTGGTCGCAGGTTACCCTACATCCCCAGGGCCTTTGCCTCTGCTGCTTCCTCACCCCACTCATTCCAGGGCCTTTGCCTCTGCTGCCTCCTCACAACACCCACCCCAGGGCCTTTGCCCCTGCTGCTTCCTCACCGCACTCACTCCAGGGCCTTTGCCTCTGCTGCCTCCTCACAACACCCACCCCAGGGCCTTTGCCCCTGCTGCCTCCTCCCCACACTCACCCCAGGGCCTTTGCCCCTGCTGCCTCCTCACCACCCTCACCCCAGGGCCTTTGCCCCTGCTGCTTCCTCACCACACTCACCCCAGGGCTTTTGCCTCTGCTGCCTCCTCACCACACTCACCCCAGTCAAATGGTATTTCTGGTTCTAGATCCTTGATGAATTGTCACACTGTCTTCCATAATGGTTGAACTAAAGTAATATTTTTCTTAATCTGCTTATTGGTGATATGTACTCTGAAAGCAAAAACAGCCAAGTGTGTTATTTTCACAGATGTCAGACTACGCAAGTGTGTTTCCAAAATCTCTGGTTACTTGGGTTTCTAACCCTTCCCCTCAACTATGTAGATGGTATTCTAGTGTTTCCCTGAATTTCCTATCACAGAGGAAAAGCCAGGGTCCACCTGATTTTCATTCATTTCTAAGTACTTTTCTCAGATCCTGGAATGGTTTAAAGTTTTCCAGCATTTCAATACATATTCTGCCAGGATATGTCGATGTGAGGATTTCTTTTTATAGAACATGATTTTTTTAAAGGTCAAGAAAAAAATGTTCTCTTTGTTGTTGTTTTTTTCTTTAGTTTGTTGTTCTACTCTATTCTGAAAATTTTATTGTATTAATATTGGAGTTTTAAAATTGGGTTTCACAGAGCTCTCGTCGTCATCACTTTCATTCTGTTATCCTTTTCCTCTACATTCTTGGAGGACTTCTCCAATTTATTCTTAATATCACTGATTTGATTTCCTTTTCTTTGCTGTATCAGTCTTGCTGATGACTATCTTCATGTGGATATTTAAATGCTTCTTGATTCCTTGCAAATCTGTTTGTTTTTTTAATTGTACTTTAGGTTCTGGGTTACATTTACAGATCAGGCAGGATTGTTGCATAGGTACACACATGGGAATGTGGTTTGCTGCCTCCATCCCCCGCGTCACCCACATCTGGCATTTCTCCCCATGTTATCCCTCCCCGACCTCCCCATCCTCCCCCGCTGTCCCTCCCTTGGCCCCCGCAACAGACCCCAGTGTGTGATGTTCCCCTCCCTGTGTCCATGTGTTCTCATTGTTCAACACCTGCCTCTGAGTGAGAACATGTGGTGTTTGATTTTCTGTTCTTGTGTCAGTTTGCTGAGAATGCTGTTTCCATATTCATCCATGTCCCTACAGATGACATGAACTCATCATTTCTTATGGCTGCATAGTATTCCATGCTGTAATTCTCACAAGCTCTCATTTTGCGGAGGAGGAATTCCCACCCGAAGTCCTCGTCGCCAGGATGTGGAAAAGCTGAAATCTGAGCTCAAGTCATTACCAACTAAATCCAGGTTTCCAACACTCCATGATGCAGCCTTCAAGCCCCTTCCCCCTGGAATGATGACATAGCGGTGGACTTGGCCATGCACTGCCTGACCCTGGCCAGCAGTGAACCGAGACCACCCAGCTGGGACCCAGGGAGGAGGCAAAGAGGAGACCCCTCAGCAGGGTCTGTTTCTCCTGCCTGGGCTTGTCCTGCACCCAGGGCCAATGTGGTCCTAGGGGGTATCCAGAACCCTCCCTTCCTCTTCCAGGTGTCCCCAGAGCTTCAGAAAAGTCTGTGCTTAAAGAAAGATTCAATGAAATCATTTTCAAAAAAGAGGATACATACATACATGCATACATACATATAGAAGCAGGAGTGTACAAGCCTGGGCAACATAGCAAGACCCCACCTCTACCAAAAAAAAAAATTAGCCAGGCATAGGGATGCATGCCTGTTGTCCCAGCTACTCAGGAGGCTGAGTCAGGAGGATCGCTTGAGCCTAGGAGTTCAAGGCTGCAGTGATCTGTGATTGTGCCGTTGCACTCCAGCCTGGGCGACAGAGCAAGATTGTGCCTCTAAAAATAAAAATTTTTTAAAAGGAAAAATGACTGTGTGTCTGTGTGTCAGAGCATGCAAATTCGACAGGTGTGTGTGTATGAGAGAGAAAAGACCACACACACACACCACACACACACACACACACACACACACACACGTTATGGAAAGAATGAGGACAGTTAAAGGAAGGAGAGACACACACACACCGTCAGTCAGAGAGACACTGAGAGGCCTGGCCCACTGGCTGGGGGGGCTCAGTTGTTTGAAGTGGCTTGGGTTGAACCAAATAAACAAATGTCACAGCTCTAGAACTGGCACACCCGGCACCCCATTGAATTTTCATTTTTGTTTTTTTAACAAAAACAGGGTCTCACTGTTTCCCAGGCTAGTCTCAAACTCCTGGGCTCAAGTGATCTAATCGCTTTGGCCTCCCAAAGTGCTGGGATTACAGGCATGAGCCACCAAGTTTCACCTACTGAATTTTCAAAAAAGTGCCATGAGGTCGCTCATCTAATCCATGTTACATCTGGTGGGGCTAAGGCTCGGGAGGGGAAGCCAGCTGCTCAGGGTTACTTGCGACACTTGATGAGTCACCTGTGAGCCAATTCACCCCAAGCCCAAGCCCTTCTTCCACGCACCAGCATGTCCAGGTCCCTCAGCAAGGACATAACATGGTGCCCATCAACTGGGGGGGTCTCTTCAGGCCTCTTCATGCCCCACAAGTGGCATGTTTATACATTGGCTCTTTCCTTTGTGTGCATTAATTCATTTGTGTGCATTCATTCATTCTTTGGTGGGTGTATTCATTCATTGCATTGTGTGCACATTCATTCACTCATTTCTTGGATTGGGCATTCATTCACTCATTCCTTTGTATGTGTAGTCATTCATTGCCCCCTTCCTCCCTCCCTCCCTCCCTCCCTTCTTTTTTTCCTTCCTTCCTGCCTCCCTCCTTCCCTCTGGTGCCTCTTTTCCTCCTTCCTTCCCTCCCTCCCTCCCTTTCTTCCTCACACACTTTTGACCCCTCAGGGCTATGCTCATTCCATGTGCTTATTGGCTCCCATCTAGGTCATACTGGGTAAGAACAGAGAGGACACTTCTGCCGGGCCATCGGCTGGGACCTAGTTTAAGTCAGTGAGCTGTAAGTGGGAAAGGACCACCATGCAAGAGCTCAGCAGGACATGGAGGCCTGACAAGGCTGGGAGGAACACATACTCGGTGCCTTCCCCAGCCTCCCCTCCCCACCCCTACTCATTCACTCAACACCTATGGGGCTGCTTGGGGCCTGGCCCCACCTGTCCTCCTCCAGCTCACAGGGCCAGGGTGCCTAGAAAGAATTACAGGACCAGTCTGGGTGCGGTGGTTCATGCCTATAATCCCAATACCTTGGGAGGTCAAGGCGGGTGAATCACTTGAGGTCAGGAGTTTGAGACCAGCCTGGCCAACATGGTAAAAACCCGTCTCTATTAAAAATACCAAAAATTAGCTTGGCCCACGTGGTGGTGCATACCTGTATCCCAGCTACTAGGGAGGCTGAGGCAGGAGAATGACTTGAACCTGGGAGTTGGAGATTGCAGTGAGCTGAGATCATGCCACTGCATTCCATCCTGAGTGAAAGAGCAGGACTCCAACTTAAAAATAAAAGAGAGGCTGGGCGAGGTGACTCACGCCTGTAATCCCAGCACTTTGGGAGGCTGAGGCAGGGAGATCACAAGGTGAGCTGCATGAGTCTTTGCATGAGTTCCCTGTTTTATGATTCTGTGTAAAGTCTCTGAGGCCTTTGTCATGTGTGAGGGCTCTGTGTGAGAACCAAGGAAGGTCTCTGAAATTTGCAGGAGGTCTCTGTGGGACTCAATGAAGTCTCTCAGTGTGGTCTCTGTGGGGTTCTCTGAAGGGGTCTGTGTGAGGACTCTGGGAATCTTAGTGCTGTGTCTCTGTGGGGCACCATGAGGTCTCTGAGAGCTCTGCGGGGTCTCTGGAGGCCGCAGTGTGTCTCTCTCTGCGGTAGTGAGTGGTCCCAGTAGGCTCTCTGTACGAGATGTCTCTGTGAGGTTTCTGTGGGAGGTCTCTGTGGTCTCCACTGCTGGTCTCGCTGCACCCAAAGGGAAACTGAGTAACGGAGGAGTAAGAGCTTGCTTGCACCTTCCTATGTTCTTGTTGGTCGGCCAGCGTTTCCCTTGGCGCTTCTCCTGGCCTGAGCCGTGGGGTCCACACATCCAGCTCCTCCATGTCCCAGAACTCGCCTATCGGTTTTCTGAGGGAACCCAGCAGCAGCCAGGCATGGCCCATCCTCAGCTGTCACTCTGTGACTCTCTCTCCTGAGCTCCCCAGGGGGACCGGAGCTGATCTCTGCTCCAGGTCCCAGCCCCTCCTGCTGGTCCTGGCTCTGCTGTCACTGCTGGGTCCACCTTGGAGGCTGCTTCAGTCATCTGGGCCCCAGACAGACCTGGCCCTAGGACAGGCCACATGCTGGGGACTGTTGCTTACTGCCCCCTTTACCCCAAGTGCCAACCAGTCCCACATGCTGGGGACAGGGCCATTTCCATTTTCATCTAAATCAGTGGCACCGCCTAGCACGGTCCTCTCCACCGGGGAAACGAGGCCCCCCAAACTGGGCCTCCTGTGCGCTTGTATGTGCACAAGCCACAGAATCTCCCTCTAGAGACTTCACACTCTCTCCCTGATTTGTGG